GCACGTGTACACATATATACGTAAAAAATGTCACAAATCTGTGCCACTTTGCACAAATACACAAAAACGTTTTTCGCTTTCACATATAGAAAATACTTATTCAATGCATTGAATGGCGTTGAATGGTGTTGAATGTGGTTGATTGGTAGCTTTATTTTACACAAATACACACAAATGCACACAAATACACATATATGCGTAACAAGCCGCAACAAGCAATGCAATGAATGTACTGCCGTGTACTGCTGGAACAAAATTGTGCCACTTTACATAAATACTTTGAACGACTTGAAACAACCTGACTGAACTGTCAAACGCTGTCAAACCATTTTCAACTAATTTAAACGAACTGTCTGAACTGGATGGGACTGGATTGAAATATAATTTATGTGAATTTATGATAATTTTGCGTAAATTTTGATATTTAAAATTTGTTTAAATTAAACAAAAACAAAGTAAAGTCAAATAAAATTGAATAAAGTATGTCTTCTGAATCCGATGAAGATTTTGACGACAGTTGTGAAATATCTAGAAACGGTGATATTCATCATGCTGTATTACAAAATATGAAGATGCGTTTTATGAAAAACAAAATCTATGTAAGTTTTCTATTTGCTACTATTTGCCGCTATTTGCCTGAGAAATTATTGTTTCCAATAAAAATGAGTTATATTGTTTATGATTGTTTATAATTTTTTACATTGCATTGCTTTAACCGGCCTTAACATCATTTAACATACATATTAACGCATATTGCTTCATATTATTGACAGACATTTTCGGGGAAACTTTTAATTGCGATTAATCCTTTGCAACCGTTGCCTTTGTACTCCAATGAAGTGATAGAATCGTACAAAGCCAAAACAAATCATATGCTACAACCACATATATTCTGTGTTGCAACTGAAGCGTTATGTGCGTTAAAACAAAGAAAACAGTCACAATGCATTGTAGTCACTGGCTTATCTGGATCGGGTAAAAGTGTGACAGCGAACCATTTAACTGAATTTTTATACGAGAACGAAGGAAAAATGACAGCACATATTGGAATAATGTTGGATGCATTTGGTAACTGCACAACCCCACAGAATGACAACAGTTCTCGTTTTGTAAAATTACTACAGGTAATGCTTTATTTTTCAAATTTGAAGAAATTAACCACAATTTACAGTGCGTTGTGATCAAATAAGTTCAAATAATAATTCCCAATAATTCAATATTATTACTTTAAGTTCGAGTATAGCCCTGAATATAAAGTTCTCAAATTGAATATATCATATCAGCTTTTTGAGAAGACACGATTATGCATGAACGACAACACAATTGGAGACAATTTTAATATATTCTATATGCTTCTAAATGCACCAATGGATTTGAAATCGAAATTTAATATTGCGAGCGAAAAATTTGCAGTAAGCTCGGATTTTAATGGATCTGACAAAATGGAATTTATTAATAATTTCGATCATTTTTTTAAAGATTTTACCACCAAAAGGCATGAGAAATTCTTTGAAATATAGCTTTAATGAGTTAGAAACTGCATTGAATGGATTGGGGTCTGACATATCAGAAATGCGAGAGTCAATTTATGCCATACTTGCTGCTATCCTACATTTGGGGAACGTAAAATTCAAGACTGACCATCTAGGGTTTGCTCAAATCAATGATGGTTCTCACAGTGCATTGGAAAGTGCTGCTAATTTATTGGCAATAGATGAAAAACATTTGAAATGCGTACTATTAGAACGAAAAATGGTTGTGGGAGCCGATACAGTTTCGTACGTATACATTGAAATTCCATGAATGATTCACGATATTTTATAAAAAAAATAAGTACAACATTCTAGTCACGATTTTAGTGAAATCCAAAAACTATAAATGATATTTATTAAAAACCATTAAAAACTATTTTTATATGATAGAGTACGTTTCAATGAAACTTTGGCAGTAAGCACGAGAGATTCAACGGCGAAACTTATTTATTGCGAATTATTTCGGTTTTTAATTGATAAGATCAATGGAGCGACATCAGAACTTCAGCAATATATAGCTATTCTGGACATACCAGGATTCGGTGAGTAGTTATTTTGATAAAACGTTTTTTATAGGTACTATTTATAACCGTTTATAGCCAAACTTTGCATTGATTTTTATGGATTTTTATTCACAATATTTTCTATAATTAATTTCAAAATATTAGAATGTTTTGAGATGGGACAAAATTCGTTCGAACAAATATGCATCAACTTTGTCAACGAAAAGATTCGAAATTTTTCCACCAATCGTTTGATCAAAGCAGAACTGGACTGGTACAAGAGTGAAAATTTGGATATTCCTCAAATCGATTTTTTGGACAATCAAAATATCATTGGTAATACAATTACTATGTTATTTCCAGTTCTTTCAATGCAATGTGAATCCAATTAATTTTAACCGATTTTAACGAATTCTAGACTTGTTGGAAGATAAAACAGAAGGAATTTTTTCTTTATTGGAAGATGAAAGCAAGAAACGAGTACCATCCTCAATAAATTTTATGAAAATGATTGCCAGTACTTGCATTAAAAAATCATCGTTTACTTTACCCAAACTTAAAAAATCACCGGTGGAACCTCAATGCTTTGTTATTCATCACTTTTCTCAGGATGTTTTCTATTCCTCGGTAAGCATGAATATTTAAAAAATTATACAATGCATTGAATATATTTATTTTATGTAATTTTATGAATAGGAAAATTTTGTTGAAAAGAATACTGAATCAGTCTCGACAGATGTTCATAAAATTGTTGAAGCGTGTTTAGAAGGTTTTGGCATTAAAGAAATTCAAAAAATTAACCGTTTAAAATCAACCACAGCCATTATGAAAAAAGATCTATCAATACTAATTGACACATTGAAGACAAATGTGAGTTTTGCGATGTTTTGTTAACGTTTTTTTTTAAATTTCCATTACTATCTTTGACAAATTTAATATTTTTGCCAGGACTCTCATTTTATACATTGTGTGAAACCGAATAATGACAAGTTACCCAATAAGTTTGAAGATGGCATGGTCTCAACACAACTTAACACAGTTGGAGTAGCACCGATTGTGAATTTAATGCGTTATGGTTTTTCTGCGACATTGTCATATGATGAAATTTTGACCAAACTCGATCCACACATTTCAAATAAAGCCAAACTATTTATTAACGATTTGTGCAGAGATCTCTTAAATTCAATGCATTGCACCAAAAATTCTTTCAAATTTGGGAGCACACAAATTTTTTTTCGACCAGGCAATGAAAACTTTGTGAACATGTTTAAAGAGATGAATACCGATGAAACAAAACAAATTGCACAAGAAATTAGCGATAAATTTTATATGCGACAACGAAATTCATTCTGGATAAAGATTCGAGTTTTGGGTATAAGTAAGTTGTTTCTCAAATTACGGTATTTATATCTTATAATAATAATATGTCTCTCGATGTCTCTTTTAGTGTTAGTTGGTTTGAAGAAAAAGAGGAATATAAATAGTTACCCCGAAATACCGTACAGCGAAGAGGTTGTGGCAGAAAATGTACAAGAAATCAAGGTCAAAGAAGAAGAAATTATGGATCGTCAATGCACTGAAAATTTGATTGAAAGCACGAAAATGCAAAAAATAAAACGTATAAGAACTACAATTACAGAAAAACGACCAACTCATTCATCTCGCTATGATGCCATCGATCACGAGATAGCCAAAGATCATACTCGTCAGCGGTGCAAATTGGAGAAATGTGAATATAAATCATATATGAGGTGTACAAAATGTAAAGTACACCTATGCCATTCAAAAAAAAGAGATTGTTTCGCCAAATTTCATGACCTAGCATTATTGTGATTTGCATAAATTAAAATCGATTAAAATAAAGTTACAATTCCACTCATTGCATTGATTAAACAAAGTATATTCTTTTATTATACATGTAGTTACAAAAAATACATTTTTATTTATTGTTTACTTATTTTTTACGACTTTAAATCGCTTTCAACGGCTTTCAATGCATTGATTTGTGATTATTTGAGTTAATTCTTAAATTAAAAAAACGGAAAAAGATATAATAAGTTTCAACTAAATTACCTCACATAAAGTCGCATAAAGCAATAAAAGAATATTTTTGATACCAAAAAAAAACAACGTAAGCAGGAACAGAACGAATTATTGTGAGACAGCGTGAGACAGTTTTCATTGTTAAAAGATATGTCTAAAATAACGGATTCTTTGGAATAAAACAAAAAAGTGCAAAAAATAAAAAAAATGCATTTTTATCTACTTGTTTTTGCTTTTTTTAAGAGGCTATTTTTGATTGAGATTTTTAATCATTTATTTTATACCTTTTTATACTTGTATTGACTGAATCTCAAATGACTTGATGTATTGATAATTATTATTATTATTTGTTATATATGTTATTTTGTATAACACGGCATAATGTATTTCTTACTATGTATCCGTATGCATCAACAAAAACAAAAAAAATAATTTTCAGTGCACTGAAAAAATTTAATTCATATTTGCCATTCACCGCCATTTATAATTCACGACAATTCGTAAATTCTATGCTAAAATAAAGTAAAATAATGGATTCTTTAAAATAAAACAAAAATGCCAATTATATACGCAATTATAAAAAATACATGTTTATTTACGTTTTTTTCACTCATATTTGTCACTCACAATTCACAATTTCTATGGTGAAATAAAGGATTCTTTGAAATAAATTAAAAAAGAAATACACGTTTACATAAAGTACATGTTTATTTACTCATATTTACATGTTGTTACTTTGTTTTGACAATAAATTCTCTCAATGTCGTTTAAAGTATTGCATATACATATTTGATATTTCTGAATCAATTTAATTCAATCCGGTCCGGTCCATCCCTTCAGTTATTTCAATTTTCATTTAATATTTCTTGAAGTTGATTCGGTGTATAGATCTGTGGAGTATTTGGTGCACGCGTTGAATAACGTCGAAAACGGAGCGGCGTTGAGTGCAATATGGAAGTATCAACTTTGACCCATGCCAATCCACGAATAACGTATTCCCCTGGTGACCACTCCATAAAATTTATTGAAGAGTTTGAGTGATCCATGGTTTTGTAGATTTTTCGGTGTTAAACCCGGTTAAACCACAGAAAACAAAAAATTTAATCAGTGCACTGTATGTTTTCAATTGTGGTTATAGGTGGTTATTTCACGGAAATGTTGTCTTGACCAAATCTCAAAAGGAAAGAACTCTGATACGTGCCAATGTTGACGAAAGTGACTGTTATCGACTGTTATATTCGGTTATACGCGGTTATATTTCAATGCAATGGTTACTTTAATGTGATTTGACTGGATTTGACTTGATTTTTGGTTGTACCAACTACTTCTCGCTACTGTGTACAGACTGAATGCGTATGAGCGAACGGTTTTGGCAATAGTTTTGGCGTGCTGATTCATATTTGTTGATATTTGTATTTTACTTTCGTAACGGTGGTATTTTGAATTCGGCTTCTTGCGGTAACCAAATAACCATCGAACGGGCAGACTGTTTTTTTTCCTTTTTTGCTGCAATATTAATTAGTATATTTTAGCCATAAGCAATGTACATATGCTAATATACAAAGTACCTTTTAATTTTTTCATTATTTTTTCGGTTTCTAACGATGATAAAGTTATTCTACATTCTGCTGTCGACAAATAAATTGTTTCACGACTTTCTGTAACTAGTAGAATTAAAGTTCATTTACTCGTTTTAATTATAATCATTACATTTATTGATATTTATTACCTTTTACACTACGAACATTTGTAGCTTTTCGATATTCGTCCAAATTTTGCCGCTCTAACACTACCTTACAGTCACGAATATTAAATTTTTTCAAACGATGATTCATTTCCATAGATTTTCGTAAAATCGTCTAGCAAACCAGTTTATAATCGTTTCGAATCGTTTATAATATAATAATTGCGAATAATTTTAAACAAATCAAACCGAATGAAATGAAGCAAAATAAACAACCAACTGTAGCCAACTGTCAATTTTTTTACGCACGTGTACACATATATACGTAAAAAATGTCACAAATCTGTGCCACTTTGCACAAATACACAAAAACGTTTTTCGCTTTCACATATAGAAAATACTTATTCAATGCATTGAATGGCGTTGAATGGTGTTGAATGTGGTTGATTGGTAGCTTTATTTTACACAAATACACACAAATGCACACAAATACACATATATGCGTAACAAGCCGCAACAAGCAATGCAATGAATGTACTGCCGTGTACTGCTGGAACAAAATTGTGCCACTTTACATAAATACTTTGAACGACTTGAAACAACCTGACTGAACTGTCAAACGCTGTCAAACCATTTTCAACTAATTTAAACGAACTGTCTGAACTGGATGGGACTGGATTGAAATATAATTTATGTGAATTTATGATAATTTTGCGTAAATTTTGATATTTAAAATTTGTTTAAATTAAACAAAAACAAAGTAAAGTCAAATAAAATTGAATAAAGTATGTCTTCTGAATCCGATGAAGATTTTGACGACAGTTGTGAAATATCTAGAAACGGTGATATTCATCATGCTGTATTACAAAATATGAAGATGCGTTTTATGAAAAACAAAATCTATGTAAGTTTTCTATTTGCTACTATTTGCCGCTATTTGCCTGAGAAATTATTGTTTCCAATAAAAATGAGTTATATTGTTTATGATTGTTTATAATTTTTTACATTGCATTGCTTTAACCGGCCTTAACATCATTTAACATACATATTAACGCATATTGCTTCATATTATTGACAGACATTTTCGGGGAAACTTTTAATTGCGATTAATCCTTTGCAACCGTTGCCTTTGTACTCCAATGAAGTGATAGAATCGTACAAAGCCAAAACAAATCATATGCTACAACCACATATATTCTGTGTTGCAACTGAAGCGTTATGTGCGTTAAAACAAAGAAAACAGTCACAATGCATTGTAGTCACTGGCTTATCTGGATCGGGTAAAAGTGTGACAGCGAACCATTTAACTGAATTTTTATACGAGAACGAAGGAAAAATGACAGCACATATTGGAATAATGTTGGATGCATTTGGTAACTGCACAACCCCACAGAATGACAACAGTTCTCGTTTTGTAAAATTACTACAGGTAATGCTTTATTTTTCAAATTTGAAGAAATTAACCACAATTTACAGTGCGTTGTGATCAAATAAGTTCAAATAATAATTCCCAATAATTCAATATTATTACTTTAAGTTCGAGTATAGCCCTGAATATAAAGTTCTCAAATTGAATATATCATATCAGCTTTTTGAGAAGACACGATTATGCATGAACGACAACACAATTGGAGACAATTTTAATATATTCTATATGCTTCTAAATGCACCAATGGATTTGAAATCGAAATTTAATATTGCGAGCGAAAAATTTGCAGTAAGCTCGGATTTTAATGGATCTGACAAAATGGAATTTATTAATAATTTCGATCATTTTTTTAAAGATTTTACCACCAAAAGGCATGAGAAATTCTTTGAAATATAGCTTTAATGAGTTAGAAACTGCATTGAATGGATTGGGGTCTGACATATCAGAAATGCGAGAGTCAATTTATGCCATACTTGCTGCTATCCTACATTTGGGGAACG